GCAGGGAGGCAGGCATGCAGGGAGGAAGGCAGGCACGCAGGGAGGAAGGCAGGCATGCAGGGAGGAAGGCAGGCATGCAGGGAGGCAGGCATGCAGGGAGGAAGGCAGGCATGCAGGGAGGCAGGCATGCAGGGAAGCAGGCACGCAGGGAGGAAGGCAGGCATGCAGGAGCAGCAGCCCAGCATGGCACTGCAGCTGCCTGGCAGAGGAGCCCACAGCCGCAGCAGCCCTCAGGCCGGCGCGGGAATATCTGCAATGAGGCCAACACAAGGGACTCCCCAAACACCAGTGCCAAACACCAGCGCTGCATGGAGCATCACTGGCTGACGTGCCACGATGCCTGCATGGCACAGCAAGGCTCAGCAAGGCTCAGCAAGGCATGGCAAGGCGGGCACCAGCTTCGGCTCCCAGCACACGCAGCCCAGCACACGCAGCCGGTGCTTCCCCCCGCAGTGCCCGGCTCGTCGGGAGCTGCTGCCCGCAGGGCTGGAGCTCGGCACGCGCGGTGCCCGGGATGGACTCACCGTTCTGCGTGAGCTTGGTGGAGCAGATGAGGGTGGCGATCTGGAAGGTGTCACGGGTGGACACGCTGATGCCGGCGGCGGCGCCGGCGCGGAAGGAGGCGCCGGGGGCCGCACGGGGCTCGGCTGTGCTCCGCGTGGATGGCAGCCCCAGGTAGGCGCTGGCATCCTCCAGGCGCCGGCTGTCGCCCTGCAAGCGGCGCCCGGCTGGCTGAGCGGCCGCGGGGCGGCTGGGCCGGCACCCGTGGCTGCCGCCGCCTCCCTGCACTCATGTGGAAGGGGCAGAGCTGGGGACACGACAAGGAGACCAGCGTGGGGGACGCGGCGCTCTGGGGGTGACGGCAATGTGGGTGCGGGACAACTCGTGTGAAGCCTGGGAGTGCGGCCAGGCAGGATGCTCCCTGTGTCCAGTGCATGCAGCACCCAGCACCCACCACCCTCAGTGCTCACAGACGGGGCGAGAGCAGAAACGCTGCAGGGTCAGCTGGAGCAAATGGGGCAAAACAGGGAAACGGCACCAGCGGCAGCGGCTGAGGGTGCCGCCAGGCCTGGCGGGCTCAGCGAGGGCAGCGGCAGGTGGGCCAGGACCCGGAAAGGCACCCAAGGCTGGGGCAGCGCGGGGGGCTCCGCAGGGCGCTGCGCCGCCACGGGCTGTGCACACGGGCACGGGCACGGGCAGGACGTCCTGGAGCGCATGGAAATGCCGGCTGCCTGGCGGGACACGTCGCCAGGGAAGCATTTTGGCAACTTGGCATGGGATATTGTTGCAAAAGCCCAAGGGCCTGCTAGGATTAAAAGCACCGAGCGCTCTCCCTGTCCATGCTGGAAAGGGGCAGACATCAGAAACATGATGGACAAGAAACAACAACAGTGCAGCAGAGGGCTGAACCATGTAGAGATGCTGGAGAGCACCGGAAAATTAGCAGAAGTGCTTAAGATGAGGACTGGCACCTGAAAGGAAGACCCTGCCATAGGTCAAGAACCAAGTGAGGGCCAAGGAAGTCAAACCCTGGTGACATCAGGCAAAACGTGGCAAACACCCTCATGGGAATCCACCCCCCGTGGGGACCCAGCCGAGCTGCTGCTCCTGCACAACCTGCCGCGGGGACGGCAGCTCCTGCGGGCAGCGCTGCTGCCCAGCGCCCTGTACCTTGTAGAGCAGCAGGTCGTGCTCCCCGTCGCGCAGCGTGGTGCCGTCCGGCCGCATCAGCTTCACGAAGGCCATGGAGAAAATCTTCTCGCTCTTGTCCTTGGCTGCAAGGGAGGAGACAGGGCAGCGGCGCCCGCTGCAGCAGCAGAGCCGGGGCCAGGCGGGTGGCAGGAGCCGCCACCACACACGTGGGAGCGCAGGGACAAGGAACAGCCGGGGCATCCACAGGGACAGGGGCACCCCGAGGGGCAGCCACAGGACACAGGAGCTGCACGGAGCAGGACGCGGGTGCCCACCAGGTTTGTGATGCCCCAGCGCAGGGCAGCACCTGCGGGGGACACTTACAGTCGCTGGAGGAGCGGTGCCGGAAGGTGAAGCGCAGGTGGGTCCTGTGCACATCCTCGATGGGGACGGCAACCTGTGAGAGAGGCGCCCGCGTGGGCACCACGGGATGGGGGACGCGGGACCGAGCCCAGCAGAGGCTGCAGGGAACCGGCCCCGCTGGCGGCCCCAGGGCCGGGCAGCCGGGGCGGAGCTCGCACGGACCTTGACTGTCTCCATCCAGCGCTGGTGCCGCTGCTGGTAGTAGACCACGGAGCGGTACTCGCTCACGGGCCTGTCCCCTGCGCCGTGGTAGATCGCGTTCTGCAAGGAACGCGTGGCGCTCAGCTCGGGGCCGGTGCCGCGGCGGTGCCACGCGCTGCAGCAGGGCAGGCACCCTCATGTGCAGGGGAAGGGATGGGGACATAACGGATGCAACGGGGGGATAGGGCATGCTGCTGGGTGCCCGGGGCCGCTCCACGTGCGCCAGCGCTCAGTGCATCCCGGCTCCGCTTCCCGCTAGCCGGTGCCGCTCCGGCCGCTCACCGGCACCACGCCGCCGGCCTCGTCGCACACGCACACCGTCACCTCCACGTTCTTCTGCGTCTTCTTGTTGCCCTTGTCAAACTCGCCCTGCACCAGCGTCAGGTAGATGTCGTTGCGGACGTCCCCTGCGAGGAGCCACGGGAGAGGCTGGTGCCATGCTCGGAGCCGCGGAGGCTGCGCCAGGCGAGGGCACCGACTGCTCCCGGCACATGGAGCGCGGCACCTGCGGGACCTGGTCCGGGCGGGAGCACCTGTGGGAGCTGCAGGCAGGGGTGGCCGCTCCCAGTGCCACCACATCCCAGTGTCACCGTGTCCCAGAGCCACAATGTCCAAGCATYGCTACTGCATCCCAGCACTGCCTCCACATCCCAATGTCACCACATCCCAGTGCCACCACATCCCAGTGTCACCGTGTCCCAGAGCCACAATGTCCAAGCATTGCTACTGCATCCCAGCACTGCCTCCACATCCCAATGTCACCACATCCCAGTGCCACCACATCCCAGTGCTACCATATCCCAGTGCCACCAAGTCTCAGTGCCACCATGTTCCAGTGTCACCATGTCCTGGTGCCATCACATCCCAGCAGTGCTGCCACATCCCAGTGTCACCGTGTCCCAGCATCACCACCGAGTCCCAGTGCTGCTGGCCGCTGGTCCCTGCTCCAGAGCGGGGCCGTGTCCCCATCCCCGCGTGCATGTCCCCGTGCGCTGTCAGGACAGGCCGTGTCCAAGCGCCGGCGCGGCCCGCTTGCCTGGCATGATGACCTCGGGGTAGCCCAGCTTGCGGGCCACCACGGTGCTGCGGTCCACGAGGTGCGGGTGGTCCTTGCGCACCTGGCTCAGGTCGCCCCAGAGCATCTTCAGGGACACCCAGAACCCTGGTGGGGACAGGGACGGGGTCAGCGCCAGGCGCAGCGCTGCAGGGTCCGTTGTGGCTGCCGGGACGGGCCGACACCACGCAGGGCGTGCAGGGGCACCTTGGCCCTTGTGGTTGATGTCCTTGCCCTCGGCCGCCTTGCGGATCATGCTGTGCAGGAAGTCGCTGTCGGCGGCCACCCTGCCGGCATTGGAGCGGGGGGTCAGCGGCGCTGCCGGGCGGGAAGGTCCCTGACGGCGCCGCGGGAGCCCCAAGGTACTGGCTGAACAGTGGCCGCTGCTCCCGGCCAAGGCCGCCTGCACTCACTGGTGCACGGGGATGAAGTGCTGCTTGTCCTCGTCTCTCTCGCTCTTGCCCTTGCTGATGTCCGTGATGTCCATCACTGTGGTGGCAGGTGGTGCTGCGGGTGGCTCCGGGCACCGCGGCGCCTCCCGTGCCCCACAAATGTGGCGTCCAGGCCCCCGCTGCCCCCGCAACGGCTGGCGCGGAGCCAGGGGTGACGGCGGCTGCCCCAGCCCCTCTGCACGTCCTGGCCCCTCTCCATGTCTCAACCCCTCTCCATGTCCCCAGCTCCCTTCCGTGTCCCCTAGTTCATGTCCCCAGCTCCTTTCCGTGTCCCCGGCCCCTACACATGTCCCCGGCCCCCTCAACATGTCCCCAACCCCTTTCCATCTCCCTGGCCCCTCTCTCTGTCCCTGGCCCCTCTCCATGTTCCACAGTCCTTATCCACGTCCCCAGCCCCTCTCCATGTCCCAGTCCCTCTCCCGGGGCTCCCGGCGCCACTCACCGGAGATGCCGAAGGGCCGTCGCAGGCCGGTGCTGAGCTTCCTGCTGAGGCTCTCCCGCAGGTCCATGCGGCCCACGCGGATGATCTGGCACACCAGGAAGAGCCTCTCCCGCTTCAGGTCCTTGCTGCCCAGGTCCTGCGGGGCGGGAGGGCCGGCATGTGGGGCAGCACAAGGGAGGCACCGGCGCCCACGGGCAGCCCCCAGCTCTGCCCAGGGACGGACGACCCCGGCGCCCTGTGGGCAGCTCTGTGGGCCGGGCAGGCAGCCAGGTGGGACAGACAGCGCGGGCAGTGGTCGCTGCACATTGGGGACAGCAATGCCTGTGTGCCCGGGGCGCTGCAGGGCCCAGCCCAGGTTCGCGGGGAGCGCAGCGGGCAGCACTGCAGGGCCGGGCACCGCGGGGCTGCAGCCGCGGCCGCTTCGTGCTGGTTTTCCCTGTTCAGCCACACGGCGACGCTGCTCCGCAGCCGGACGGCTGCGCTCGCCGGGAGGCAGCAGGGATGGGGGTGAGACCGCTGCGGCGCAGGGCATGGAGCAGGGAGCAGGGGCATGGAGCAGGGGGCACGGAGCAGGGCATGGAGCAGAACATGGAACAGGGTATGGAGCAGGGCATGGAGCAGGGATACAGGCATGGAGCAGGACATGGAGCAGGGAGCAGGGCACAGAGTAGGGCACGGAGCAGAGAGCAGGGCCCTGAACAGGGGGCATGGAGCAGGAAGATGAGCATGGAGCAAGGCATGGAGCAGAACATGGAACAGGGAGCAGGGCATGGAGCAGGGATACAGGCATGGAGCAGAACATGGAATAGGGAGCAGGGCACAGAGCAGCGCATGGAGCAGGGGACACGGAGCAGAACACAGAGCAGGGCCAACCCCCTGCCAGGTGTGGGGACCCGCGGAGCCCGGCGCTGAGCCGGCTCGACGGGCACTCACCGTGAACACGACCTTGAGGTTGTTGAGCAGCTCGATGTCCTGGGGCACGCCGGTGCTGGCCCAGCGGATCACGTAGTTCTCGCTGCGGGCGCGCGGCACCGTTGGCAGGGCGGGCGGCACGGGCGGCCCCCGGCGCCCCGGCACCCTCACCTGATCATGCGCTGCTCCGCGGGGTCGTAGAGCGCCATGAGCAGCTGCGCCTCCTCGCCGATGTTGCAGACGAAGTTGTGCACACAGAGGTAGAGGCTGTGCGAGGGCGAGGACGCCAGGCGGGCGCTGCAGCCCAGCTCGCTCTGCTGCGGGCGCTGCGGGTGCCACCACCATCAGCACGGGGGTCCAGCAGCCCCGGAGCCCCCAGCATGACCCAGGGTGGCCCTGGAGACCCCAGGAGGGCCCAGAGTAGTCCCCAGCCCCCAGCACAGCCCAGGGCAGCCCTGGAGCCCCAAGAGCCCTGGGTGCATCTACACTGCAGGCACAGCCGTGCAGCACAGGATGCAGTGCTGCCGTGCAGGACGCAGCACAGCCACGCAGGATGCAGCGCTGCCATGCAAAACATGACGTGGCCATGCAGGATGCGGCACTCTGTGGGCGCTGGCGCTCACCGTCTCCTCCTGCATGCGCTGGGCAATGGTCTGCGCAGCCTTCTGGTGTGCCTGGAAGAGGCTGATGACGCTGGTGCGGTCGGGGTCCAGGATGTTTTCATTCTCGTCCCGCACCACCAGATCCAGCGCGAGGATCCTGCGGGATGCGCAGGGGTGCGGAAGGGCCCGGCCTGACCTTCCCGCTCTGGACCGGCCGAGCGGTGTCACGAGGGTGCCGGGGCTCAGCCAGGTGCAGTCCCGCCAGGCCCGCCAGGCGCAGGCGCCGCTCTCACTTGTTGCCGTAGTCGATCTTGCTGGTCACTTCCCTCTTGAGCTGCAGCAGCTCGTCCGTGGGCAGCGTCCCCGACAGCAGCTGCGAGCGCCGCTCCAGGAGCTCGTGCATCATGTCCTTCACCTGCCGGTACCGCTGCGCCTGCCCTGTCTGCAGCAGACGGGTGGTCAGGGGGGCCAGGCACCTGGGATCCGCCGCCCAGCCCGGCCCCTCACCACGTAGAGCTGCTTCCAGAGCGTGGCCCACTCGCGTAGCGTGGTGGTGATCTCCTGCACCATGGGCATCTCGGCAGGCACCAGGCTCTCCTCTGCACTGCGGGGATGCCAGCGCTCTGAGCGCTCGTGCTGTGCCAGGATTCATCCTGCACCGCGCCGGGACCCATCCAGAACCACACGAGGACCCTTCCAGCACCACCCCGAGACCCATTCTGCACCAGGTCAGGACCCCATCCTGCACCACATCAGGACCCATCTAGCATTGCACCAGGACCTAATCCCACACCACACCAGGACCTCATCCCACATGCACCAGGACTGGGATCTGTCCAGCATCACGGCGGGACCCATCCTGCACCATACCAGGACCCGTCCCACATGCACCAGGACTCTGTCCCACACCGCGCTGGGATCTGTCCCGCACCCCACCAGGACCCCGGTAGCTTCGCAGGGCCATGTGGGGGAGCCCGGGGAGACCGTGCCCGCGCCGGCACCTACCCCCTGCGCTGCACCACGGCGCCCTTCAGGTGGATCAGCGAGGCCGGGAAGATGCCCTGCGTGGAGCCCGCGCGTCCCCACCATGGCCGGGATGTCCCCACCATGTCCCTCCACGGCCAGAGGGCCCTGTGCCGCCAGCCCCGCAGCCCCCACCTACCCGGGCAGCCCGGTTCCTCAGCGAGTAGCCGCGGTACCAGCCTGCGGGGACGGGGACCGTGAGCAGGCGGGGGGGTGCAAGGGGTGCCACGCTGGCCGCCCCCGCCCCGGGGCTGGGTGCACCCCACGTCCCCCGGCCCGCATAGCTCCGGGTGCTCTGGAGCCGCCCGGCCCCGGCGGGCAGGGGGACTGGGGTCCCGGCGGGGCCGCGCGGGGCCGGGGCCGGGGTCGCGGCCGCCCCTCACCCTCGGCCGCCTGCAGGATGTGCACGGTCTCGCCGATCTGCAGCGGCAGGTGGTGCTCGTTGGTGCGCGGGAAGTTCCAGAGCGCTGCGCGGGTGCGGGGGCCGTGGGACGGGGCCCCGCGCGGGCAGAGTCCCCCGCGCGGCTCCGCACCCGGCCCGGCGGCAGCCTCGGCTCCGGCCCCGCATCACGACGGCGCCCCCGGGCTCGGCGCGGCGCTGGGG